TAAGAATGCTTCCTTTCTCATGATGAGTTTTCTTGTACAAAAATCTAAAAACTGCTGACTGTGATGAAAATTAACAAGAGAACTTTAAGGAAAAGACTTTACCAGTCACAGTGTCTTTAAATACTGGATATAAGAATAATGGAGTGTTATGGGGGGTTCGTGTTTCAAAATGAGCTACCAGGTGGTAATTAGTGAAGCTGCAACAACACCCTGGTGAGACAGGTATGTTTTATTGCTGACATTTTACAGATGTGAAACGGGCATTAGAGAGTAATGAAGTGTCTGGCCTCAGGGAACCCGGAACACCTGCATCAGCAGAAAGCACTGATTTTTCTGAGAAGTCCGACTGTGATGTAAGTACTAAGGCCGGTGTTAACAAGCACTTACTGGCTGTGTGATTTTGGCAAAGTTACTTAGCTTCCTTAGTTTCCTCATCTGTAGAAAAGGATTATTAGGATCAAATTATTTCATCAATGCAAAACGCTTTTAAAAGTACCTGGCCAACTACTTACTGTCTGTGGATTATTGGCTATGTGTCTTTCTGAGCTCTGGGGATATGAGAATGGACAAAAGGAACCCCTGTCCTCATAGCTTCCATTCTAATTATTAACAGGTGATGGAAAGTGTCTTTCTTATGAACAGGTAGAAATAGGAAGTCCTGGAGGCTTTCTTTCTTTCTTTCTTTCTTTCTTTCTTTCTTTCTTTCTTTCTTTCTTTCTTTCTTTCTTTCTTTCTTTCTTTCTTTCCTTCCTTCCTTCCTTCCTTCCTTCCTTCCTTCCTTCCTTCCTTCCTTCCTTCCTCTCTCTCTCTCTCTCTTTCTCTCTCTCTCTCTCTCTCTCTCTCTCTCTCTCTCTCTCTCTCTCTCTTTCTTTTTTAAGCTTCTAGGGGTAACTTTACAGTGGCTGGTGACTTTTCTCAATTTCCTGTGAATGAGTTCTTCACAAACAGAGAACTTCACTGATTTCTCTAGAATTTGCTGTGTTAGGCACTGGATAGCGTGGGTGACAAAGAGAACAAGACGTGTTCCCCATTCTTCAGGGCTCACAAAATTGTGGAGTCAGATACACACAAAAATGACTCTGATCAAGGCTAATTTGATAAATATAATAAAAGGAGAAAGAAGTAAGAGGTAGAGTGCCATGGACAGAGGGAAAAAGAGCAAAAGTTAAGAATGTGAACAAAACGGTAAAGAGCAGGGGGAAAGATAGATAAGAGAAGAGTATGTTTTATAGTCAGCGGGGTTTTTGATATTTTGTAACTGAAACAGGGTTTGCAACACTTTGCAGGGGAAGACTGAGAGTTGAAAGCAGATGTCTTAGTTCTGTTGAGATAACTTTCTAAGCTCCAGATGGAGCGGTTCCCACCTGGGTGCCATGTCAGCAAACCAAAACTTACACAACTTTCATGTCCCTGTAAATACTCCCCTTGACCAGAGCCACAGTATATCCAGCCAGCCAGTCCCCAAACACCAAGCCAACTCTGGGCTCTATACTTTCCTGCTCCTTCTCAGACTCCTTGGCCCCAGCCAATCAGATGTTTTCTGTTTTTCTCATCCTTCTGCTTTATTGTTGATCCTGTAAAAGCATCCTGCCACCTGCCCCATTTTGTGATTCTCCAAAAGGAGACTGTCTGCTTCTTGAAGTGTTAAATGCAGTTTTTTTGTATCACCTACACTGCTCCCAGTGTTTTAAACAGTACTCATTACAAGTAGGCTCTGCTTTGGAGAAAAGCATAGTTTGCACGGAAATATTAAATATAATTTTTTGGGTAACTTATACTTGGCTTTCTTTGTTATTTTAGTCCCTTTTCATATTCAAACTACATTCATTTGAGTTTTAAAGAATGAAATACTTTAAAAAATATTTTTATTGATTTCAGGGAGGAAGAGAGAGGGAGAGATAGAAATATCAACGATGAGAGAGAATCATTGATTGGCTGCCTCCTGCATGCCCTCTACTGGAGATCAAGCCTGCAACCTGGGTATGTGCCCTTAACCTGAATTGAACCTGGGACCTTTCAGTCCGCAGGCCGATGCTCTATCCACTGAGCCAAACCGGCGAGGGCTGAAATACTTTTTCAGTATGAAAAAAGTATCTAAGAATTGGGGGGATATAATTAACTGAATGGAGAATATCTAATTAGTTATGACCAATATCCTTCTTAACACACACACACACACACACACAGATACACACACACACACACACACACACACACACACACACACACCATAGTGACAGCAGGGTCTTAACTTTTATATATAATTATGTGAAGAACACTGTTCACTGTGGGAAAGTATTTTTAAAAATATGTGTTTCTGTATTTAATTTCAATAGATATAAATGAAAAAATACAGTTATCTGAAAGACAGGATAACTTATCTATATTACTGTATAGACCAAACATATTAGCATTTGGAAACAAAACTGTAAGAGTTTACCTTTCCAGACCCTTATTTTATTGATAAGAAAACAGGACTAAGAAAGGTAAAGTTTGAGCAAAACTCAAATTTTTGAACACCCAGGCCAGTGCCTTCTAATATTACATATTCTATGAGCAAAATTCACTGGTAATAACAGTATGTAGTTTGACCTCAGATATTTAGAGACACTTCACATTCTAAGTGAGTTACTTTCTGATTTACAGAATAATGTTCTTAACACAATGAGAACTTAATAAAACAGCTGAAGTCTTCAGAGAATGGTGTAAATATTGCTTATTTGTGGGTTACTTATGGGTTTGCAATATAGTGTAACTTCGAGTAAAAGGAAATGGAAGGTTTAAATAACATAAATTAAAGTCTAAGGCACCAATATTGAAAACTGAGTAGGCCTGGCCGGTGTGGCTCAGTGGTTGAGCATAAACTATAAACCAGGAGGTCATGGCTTGATTCTGGTCAGGGCACGTGCCTGGGTTGCGAGCTTAATCCACAATAGGGGCATGCAGAAGGCAGCCGATCAATGTATCTCATCATTGATGTTTCTAGCTCTCTCTCCCTCTCCCTTCCACTCTGACATCAATAAAAATATATTAAAAAAGAAAACTGAGTAGAATGTGAATATTATAATGAGCTGAGAATTAAGATTCTCTCATAGTTCTCTGAGCATTGAGGTACCCTAACTGACAGTTGGTGGGCCACCAGGTCCCCATGAGTCACCTTTACTTATTCCTGCTTCCATCGCCCAGATTCTGAGTTTTGCTTTGAAAAGCTGTAACAGCCACCTTCTTTGGAGACCTAAATTTGAACTACTGGAGCCACTACAGAGAACCAGCAGTGCCTGCAATATTGTTTTCCATCCCACATGTACATTTCCATTAAAGCCTGTCGTCAATGATGGATTGGAATCAGAGTGTGGAATCTCAGCTTCTTTGTTTCCGTAGTATGGACTCTGAGATGTAAGCAGATTCCAGAGCTCCCCTTAGTCACTCTGAGTTTGATTGGCATCATCCTTCATACTCCTGCTTCCTCCATTTTCTTACCAGTTCTCCTGGGAGTTTTCTTAATCACTTGTATGCAAATTCCTGCCTCACGGTCTGTTTTTGAGTAACTCAATCTAAGGCAACTATGGAAGCTTTTTAGGGTCCACCCATCCATTCATATTCATCTGCACTGCTCCCTCCCTCTCTCTTCCCTTCCTCACCTTCATTCTGATTTTACATTATATCTTATCCTAATATTTCCCTAATGCTTACTTAAGTAGTATTTAATACTGATTTAGTGTGCTTTTCATCTTCAAGTCTGTTTATAATTCAATTTTACAACCTACTTGAATGGTTGATATCTTCATTCCCATTTTGTAAATATAAAGTCTGAGACATAGGGAGATTAATTGACTTTTTCCTGGCCATAAATATAACAAGAGTCATAAATTTAAAATCTTTAACTTCCAACTTCATGTTCAATCCATTAGCATTAGATCATTGCCACTTTCTTACAAAATAAACTCTTTCGAAATATTATTTATTCCGTAATTAAAACATAACTATTATGTCAATTACCGCCTTTCAGACCTTATTGATTTCTAAAATCTTGATTGGATGAATGTGGTTCCCTTTTTATGGACTCTGTATAATTTGTCCTTAATTGTAAATATTGCAAGTTATCTTCATCTTCAAACATGAAGTAGAAATGACTATAAAATAAGAGTGATTTGCTGTGTATGAAAAATAACTTTTATAAAATGTGAAGAAATATTTTCATTCTGAAAGTTCCTTATATGTGTGTGTGCATTGATTTTTAAATAATCAGCTGACCTGGGAATGTAAAGAAAAAATTTAAAAGTCTGCTATTACCATATATCCCTTAAATAGTCCTTCCAAAATTATAGTGTACTGAAACTTTTTTTTTTGGACCTCACTTGAGGATATTTTCTTATTGATTTTTTTTTTTTTAAGAGAGAGTGAAAGAGAGAAGGAAAGACAGGGAAATATCGATACGAGAGAAACACATCAATTGGTTGCCTCCTGCACACACCCTGACCAGGCAAAGGGGGAGCCTGCAACCCAGGTATGCACCCTTGACCGGAATCGAACCCAGAACCCTTCAGTCCACAGGCCAACGCTCTATCCACTGTGCCAAATGAGCTAAGGCTGTAACTTTAAATTCATTGGCAAGTAATATGACCTATACAAACTCTTTTTAGGTTATAATAATTCCATTTTACTATTTCTTCCCAAGTGAATTTAGAAACAATGTTATGTCAACAGAACTGTTAAGTTGCAGGAATTACTACTTCTTTCTATGTGGTAAAACTCCCTAGAATAAGATAAAGACCTTGTTATCTTTTACTTTAATCTGACATAAAACAAGATAAGTTAATTAAGAAATTATATGCACAATAGTAAATTAGAGAGTATTCAAAAGCATAGTAGGTATGTGGTTAGGCCAAAGAAGAACAGTTTTTAAAGTGAGATAATATAGTATAATAACATGCTCAGTATATACATATATGCACATATATGTATATGTAACTTTTTAGGAAGCTCCAAATAAGACCTACTTTCTCATAGTACTTGATCTCGTAGTCCAGTATGGCTCCATTGGGAAAAGCAGGTGCTTGCCATGATAGGGCAATGCTATTTTGGGATGCCCAGTCCTTCCTTACCATACCTATCAGGGAAGGCGCTGAAATGAAAGAAAATAACTAAGAATTAATTGGCAGGAATCATATTCCATAATCCTTTCTGTAATATTTTTCTTCCCCAAATACATAATTCTTGATGAGCAGGTCATCAAGTATAGGTGTCAGATTAATAAAGTAGCCTTACAATCTTCTCTATTCAATCGAAATAAAGTATCTATAATAATAAAAGCGTAATATGCTAATGAGACTGGGTGACCTCCTGTACGAAGCTGGGGCTGCAAGGGAAGCCCGGGTCCCGGGTGCCGGAAGGAAGCGGTGCTGGCAGCCAGGGGAAGGAAGGCCTACTCTTGCATGAATTTTGTGCATCAGGCCTCTAGTTAAAATGTATTTATAAATACTATCAGGGAACATAGGAAAATTTCAAGTAGTCCAAGAATAAGGACCAGAACTCATCGTCTTTAGTTTTGTGAGAGGAGGACATTTTTCTTAAACTGATTTTGGCTCTACACGAGGTGTGATACACTTGGCTCCTATGTTTTGTTAAATCTAAATCTTCTATAGAAAAATCCTCTGCAATGACAAGATCATTCATATGCTTTTCTTTCAAGACTTAGGACTTTATAAAGCCTTAGTATTTTATAAATGTTTACATCACAAACTTCTTAGACCCTGGCCAGATAGCTCAGTTGGCTAGGCAGTGGTCGGCAAACTGTGGCTCACAAGCCACATGCGGCTCTTTGGCCCCTTGAGTGTGGCTCTTCCACAAAATACCACGTGCGGGCGCGCACGTACAGTGCGATTGAAACTTCGTGGCCCATGCGCAGAAGTCGGTATTTTGTGGAAGAGACACACTCAAGGGGCCAAAGAGCCGCATGTGGCTCGCGAGCCGCAGTTTGCCGACCACTGGGCTAGAGCATCGTCTTGCTAAGCCAAGGGTGCAGATTCCATCCCTGGTCAGGGCAAATACAAGAATCACCCAATGAATGCATAAATAAATAAAACAACAAATGGATGTTTCTCTCTCTGTTCCTTCCTCTCTATAAAACTATTTAGGACTTTATAAAGTGTTAGTACTTCATAAAAATTAATATCACAAACTTCTTAACTACAGTAAATTATTGCTTATCAATGTAAGAATTATTTGCATGGTTTCTGTTACATTTGAATAAAATTGAAATCCTTGACTTCTGAAGTTTATTTTCAGAATCATGTCTTTTTCTCTCTATATATCACTGTTTTAACAATCTAACTTCATCCTAAAGTAATCTTGTATTAAACTCCCAAAATTTACCTAAATTATATATATATTTAAACATTTTTATAACAAAATATTTTTCATTTTAAGTTTTCTACATTTTAAAAGTTTCTTACATAGATGCTAAAACTCATTCATAAAAAGAATAATATAAATTAAATATACTGAGATACTATTCCTTATCTACCAAGTTGGCAAAAAAATCCAAAAGTCTGATGCCAGCTTCTCCGTTGAAAAGGCTGTGGTGGAAATGGACTTTAATGTATAGTTGGGAAAAATGCAAAATGGTACAACTCTTATAAAGGGAAATTCAACAATTTGAAGACAATTCTATGTTCATTTATACTTTGGCTTTTTGGAATTCATCTTAAAGATACATTGCACAAAAAAGTGATACATTTATAAGCCTACTCACTGACAATTGTTTGTAATGATTGGAAACAATTTAAATATCCATCAATACCAGACTATTTAAAAAACCATGCTACATCCATCAGAGAGTTATGATGTAGAAAGGAATTGTGACTATCTATAAATACTACAATGGCATTATTTCAGGATATATTTTTAAGTGATAAAACTAAAGTGGAGAAAAATACATAAAATACAATATAAGGAGAAGTCTAGGAATAGAAAACAATAACAACGGTTACCCCTATAGGATGAGAAGAAAATAGGATGGACACTACAGGTTAAAAGCTAAATGTCTCTGACTACAGCTTCCCTTTAAAGATTTACTTTGGAATCCTGTAAATGTTTTTAAGTGTTAGAAAACAAATTAACATTTTAAAAAGGGAACCCTAGTATACTGCTAATGGGAATACAGACTGGTACAGCAACTGTGGAAAACAGTAAAAGTTAAAAATGGAAGTGTCATTTGACCCAGTGATCCCACGTCTGAGAATATATCCTAAGACTCCTGAAACACCAACCAGAAAGAATGTATGCACCCCTATGTTCATAGCAGCACAATTTACAGTGGCTAAAGTCTGGAAACAGCCCAAGCACCCATCAGTTGACGAGTGGATAAAAATGCTGTGGTACATTTACACAATGGAATACTATGTGGCTGTATAAAAGAAGGAACTCTTACCATTTGTGACAATATTTATGGACTTGGAAAATATTATGCTAAGTGAAATAAGCCAGAGAAAGACAGGTATCACATGATCTCACTTATATGTGTAATCTAATGAATAAAATAAACTGATGAACAAAATAGGTCCAGAGGCATGAATACATGAAATGGACTGACAAATGGCAGAGGGGAGTAGGGTGCAGGGGGATGGGAAAGATTATCCAAAGAACATATATGCATATATACATAGCCTATGGACACAGACAATAATGTGGTGCAGGCTTGGGGCTGAGACAGGTTCGGGGGGAGGGGGCGCAAAGGCAGGAAAATGGGGAGATGTCTGCAATACTGTCAACAATAAAAAAAGCAATTTTGAAAAATTAGAAGAAAAATAAAAGAAAGAAAGCTGTGTATTGAATTGGATGCATAGACTCCAAGAGGAACTACTTAAAGTGACTTTAAAACACAGTAACTTAACATACATCTCAAAGGGATATGTTTTATATATTTTAAAAACTGCAAAAATTATGAAGTTATTTTTAGTAAGGATATTATTGATGGTGGTATTGGCGTTGTAATTCAGAACCTGTGTCTATATATTAAGGGATAAAGCAATGAATAAGTATGTTGGTGTCATTGATAACTAGGGTTTTTCTTTTCTCCTAGCGAGAAAGGAAATACAGATGTCAGTTCAATAAAGTATGTAAAAACTCTACAGTAGTAAACTCAAATTAGAAATATATTCATGAAGTCATGATATCTTCCTAATTCATTTTCAGAAATCCATTCAAATATACCAGTCACTGGTGAGAATAGGATTTGAAAAAAAATTGATTCTCTGTGATCATAGTGAATATACTTTAAATTTCTAAGAAAAACTCAAGTATTAAGTTTGGTGTTTTATGTCTGAATGTTGCTTTTCTATCTTAAGGATAAAATATATTTTTTTAAACTTGTGAGAATGACAAGTTTGGTTCTTCTAAGGAAATTAGTACTTTAGAAACTACATTTAAAACCCTTTCCAGATGTTGGATGAAAGCATCATTATTGGACTAAAACATATTCTTAAACATGAATAATAATTATAGAAATTGCTGAGAAACAGAAAAGTTTGTGATAGAGGCTAAAACAGATATGGATAATGTAAATAAGAAAAAGTGCTCAGATAATTCACTCTTTAATTGAATCATATTCACTACAAATAAGCTACCATTAATAAATTTATCCATGTCGGAAACTACACTAATGTTCTTTGAATTATAATGTAATACTGTATTAAATAGCACTTTATGGAAAAATTAAAACTCTCAAGTGAATTATACAAATTATAAATTGATTTAAGTATGTCAATTTATTACAATTTTTGAAAATGTCTTTTCCATATGTATACATCTTATAGCTAATTTTCAGTTTAATGCATAATGCCATAAAGCCAAATTACCAATGTATCACACTTTGCTTCATAATTATTTAGCATTCAAGATCAAATAATATCTTTTCAAAACATATAAGAAATTCAATTATAGCAGCAGTGTATTAGAATAACTTTTAATTCAAATATAGGTACTATCTTTTCTATTTAAAATTCTTCAATGGTCAATTAAATTTTATGTGTCCTCTCCTATATGTCTATAAAATAGAAATAAAGAGAATCTATTCTCTAGCTATGTAAATTATACATGGAATGTAGGGTCCAAGAATCACATAAAGCCTAAGAAAAATCTTCACTTTTGCACATTTATTTCATAGGTAAATTTCCATATTTTCCATATCTTTAAAATATATATCATTTATATAATTCTATTTTTAAAAATATATCTTTATTGATTTCAGAGAGTAAGGGAGAGTGAAAGAGAGATAGAAACATCAATGATGAGAGAGAATCATTGATTGGCTGCCTCCTGCACATCCCCTAATGAGGATCAAGCCTGCAACCCAGGCATGTGACCTTGACTGGAATCGAACCTGGGACCCTTCAGTCCACAGGCCAATGCTCTATCCACTGAGCCAAACCAGCTAGGGCTATAATTCTATTTTTAACCATATTGTAAACCTCAGTCAACATTTTGATATGGACTCCATCGTTATTACTTTAATAGTTAAATTATTAAATTATGTGGATACTTTATTAAGTCTTTCCTTTAATATTGGATGTTGAAATTCCAATATTTTCCTGTTAATGTTCTCAGATTTTATGGACACATTTTTGATTTTCTTAAATATTTTATAGAGAAAATTGCTTCAATTAATTTGGATTTTCTGCGCCATACTATGTAATAATGTATTGCTTTTGAAAAGAGCTATATCAATACACACTAGGCACACATTTTAAACAGTTATTGAGTTAAAGCAGAGGCTGTTGGAAACAATTTATAAGTCAATATATACCCCAAAGGCTCCCTTTTCTATTTGCTAAGAAAGCCAACACCATACAGAATTTCATTTTAAAACAAAGCTTCAATATAGAAAACCTCAAGTGTTTGTTTGGATTATATTTAATACATTTGTTTTCTGCATAACCCAAGTTTATGGAGCATCTGAATTTGGCATTTTGGGACAACACTGTAGTACCAATGAATATAAAGCAGAAAATACATAATTCCTCAACATAAGAAAAAACTAATTTTAGAGCACAGAAGGACAACTATTGATTTTTACTTATGATTCTAAAAAGTCAGTGAAGGAAAGAAATAGGCAGGGAAATAATA